CCTGTGTCGCCACGGCCACAACGTGGAGTACTAACCACTATACTACTTGGGCCGAAAGAATCTTGAATTTTGTTAAAAACGAAACTGCAAACACATCGCCCTTTTAATCAAATAAAAAACCTGAGAGAGTCTGTAACTAGCTCTGCTCAAAATAAAACTTCTGTTAATTGATTTTCAAATATAATAATGAATAACCGTTGCTTCAAGCCAAGCTCTTCTTCTGATAATATCCGTGATGACGATTAAGATGGAAATGGCTAAGAAAGAACATCCGGACGACGACTTCATCGTTCAGGAGAAAACACATTATTCATTTCATTACAATAAACTCTTTTATGATCAAAAAAAAAATTTACATGATTTACAAAGAACGGACTAGCTCACATGAACCACAAACAGAATTTGAAACACAACAGCCAAAAAGAAAAAAAACTTTCTCGAATTACCCGAACATATAGGATTAGAATTAGTTAGGCTCGACCAGGAGGACGAAGAAGCAAATCCGCCCAGAGAGAAGCTGTTACGCATTGCACTAGTTCATCGAATGCTTGGTCCAGCAATTTTTCACTGAAAATTCAAAATGATACCATAGTTTGAGAAGGTCTTACTGGTATCTTCTTGTATCATCATCGAGGGTGTCGTTCAGATAGTTATCTTTCAACAGAACGCTCAACTCTGGAGTGGTTTCAGATGAACAACTTATGAGGAACAATGTATAGTTTGGATTGTTCGGGTTCGTTATCAACAGACACTGAAAAAATAATCATGCACGAGATTTGGGAAGCATCATCAAAACCTTTTTTGTAGAGGGAGGTGGATACTCAAGGAAGCGACACCTGTCAGAACCATAACGGGCAAAAAGAAAACGACACAACCGAGCGCAGTTAGTGCCTTGCAACAGCGAAATTAATCTGAACAAACTGATGATCTGAGCGTGGAAGTAACATGATAACCTCTTCTCTCTATCACTCATATCGATTTGATGTACATACTCCAGAAGAGTTTCAAACTCATCGGCTGGTAAATCATGAGAGTATGCCATCAGAATTCCCCAGACATCGGTTTGTGGATTTCTGGAATGCGATAAAGTTTTCTAAAGTTATCTATTCTCACTTCGAAGGTAACAACGACTTGAAGGCGGAAGTTTGTGCAAGGGCCTTCTTCGGAACGAGTATCTAGAAGAACAGAAGAGTACCATGAATTACGGATACGCAAGAAAGAAACCTTTGACCAAATATTGTCTCGACGACATTTCCATTCAGCTTCTAGAACAGCGTCGTCGAGCAGCTTCGTGTAATCCATTACAGCTTCTTCCAATATCATTTGCAGATTCCTCTGCTTTGCGCAAAGAAATTGAACATAAATTACTTTTTCACCCGGCATTTCCACATCTGAATAACAGAGTTTCTAGAGATGATGTAGACTTTAATTACTTACCCTCAGAATCTATTGTTTTGCGATGTCTACGAGTTGAAGAGCCTTCCACTGAGAGACGGCTAGGCATGTCAGAGTCAGAATCTGCTTTTGGACCATTCCGTATAGGTGAATAAGACAAATCAGTTTCGAGACGATCTAATAAATGTGTGGGGAAATCTATGTGGGTAGTTCTTACTATTACTGCCAGACCCTCTGATTTGTGTCGCAGCTTTCTCCAGCCCTCCACTCGAAAATCTCCTTTTCCTGTTTACCGAACCGTCTACCAGAGGAAGACCACCCTCACTGTAACCAAAGAAGTTATATGAAGATAGTAGATTGATATACCTAATTATGCCAATCAACATATCAATTTCAGCCTCTTTTTCAGCTTCTGAAGGACCTTCGACGTGTAGAAACTCCCCCACATCATCTTGGTCATACTCCTCTCGATGGACCTCATCTTCCATAGGGCTGACTGTAGAAGGATGCTTGAACAAGTTGGAGACTGTAACATACTATGGGTTCCATCGACGAGAACTAAATATTGAACAAGATGAAGCTGTCCAGCTTTGCCTTCTTTTCGTCTATCGCGCAACAAAACTCTTAGTTTCTCATGCTGCAACTATATACGTTATCTCGAAAAAACCAAAACAAAGCAACTCCATTCAGGTTCCTGGGTTTCTCACTCGATACGAGCATGAAGTCATGGGCTTTACTACTAACATCATCTTCTGAGTTCTATAAAAAATGGTAACATGTATTTTTAATAGTGAACTCAGCCTACTTTTAAACGGACAACAGTCCATCCATAGTGCTTCTCGTAATGCATGTCTAAGAAATGAGTCCAAATGTCTTTCGCAGCTACGCCATGTTTCAACTCAAAAGTTGGCCGCACTGTGAGAACATACTGATCTTGTTCTTTTTAGAATGCTTACCTTCATACACGCAGTTACGAGCATTTGGTGGACGACATCCGTAGTATTTCAAGAAATCTACCAAGAATGAGTAAGTGTTGTACCCATTGCTGAATAAAACCTACAAACCGAATTTTAAGTAAATAGCATACATAGCACCCTACCTGATCTTTACCAACTAAATACTTGCTCAGGATCCTTAGATGAAAGTCGTACGTGAACGAATGTACATGACATTTCGAGAGGATACTATCTTTCAACTCCTCGAGTTTCCTCCAACGGGACCTTGCTTCCGAATCGTTCTGTTACAGTGAGTTAATTCGAAGTTCTGTTTAGGTAAGCTCACTATGTTCCTATTCGGTTGAATCAGATCACTAGATGAGTAAACGTGAATAGAGAGGATGAAATACGGTTGTAGGAACGATAATTTGATCACAACAATGCCACCTAAACTATTGAGAATGCATAAGAGAGAGCACAGATAGTCGAACCGCAAGTTTCTTTGAAAAGAGTAACTGTGGGAGCGTACTTGCACCCTTGAGGATACTCTGTTTGATACCAGTCCATGCGTTGGCTTCTTAATCAACTTATAGATTCTCTTTCTTGAGATACTTACTTCTCGGATAAGTTTGTTACTCGGAAGGGCTTCAAACCAATAGATTTGAGATAAGATATATAATCGTTCAAGAGCATGTACAGTATTTTCACCTATTTTACTTGTATCATGGCAAAGGTCTTCTATTGTTACCTCAAATGGATCTTCATGTTCACTTTTGAACCGTAAAGGTGACTGTTGCTGATGCTGGGCAGAAGATGAGACACTGAGAGTAGAAGATCTCAGTCTACGGCTTGTGCTAGAAGACGATCCAGTTGGAGGGCGAGACGAGTTTTCTTTTTTTGGCGTCTTAGGTTCTATAGTAGCTCGAATCTGAAAAACAATAATTGAATTTCGGTTATTCTCGACGTGTAAACTTCAGCAATCTTTCTTCTCCATTTGGGAAACAGTAGAACAGGAGTTTGCACGAAATGAACTCTTCTTGAACATTCCAACAGCGCAGCAAGTTCGCTTTCCTGCAACTGGTTCTGAAGTAGAACTCTCAAATCCTTACCTTAACTTCACATTCATCTTTTCTTAGTCGAGCATGAACTTGTGACAAAGTTATAAACCTATGCATACGTCTTTCAAGATCAGACCTGAATCGAAATTGTTCGAGATGGAGCTGAGTTCTAACGTACCGTAATGACAACACTTGATCCAACTGGTTCTTTATCAGACATTGAGACTGGTAGTTGGGAACAAAAGAGAAATCTCAAGATACTTGTTGAGAAAAAAAACTCAATTTCCAACTCACCAGCTTTACGTATTGGCCTTAAGACTAAGTCAGCTATTAGCTCTGGTAATCCTTCAATAGCGACAGCATTCAGTTCATCAGCTGGGTATTCCAACTCAATAAGTTTAGCAGTACTTCGCCAGACAAGAGATAAGTAAGGATTCTCCGAGGATTTCTGAATAACTCAAGTTTTATTTCAGAAAGTTCTAACTTTCGAATACCTGAACAGGAGATAGGTGTGTTATACCTAGCTTGTGCAATGAAATTTCCCGACTAAGTCGAGATCTAGCCAAATGCCATAGCGTCGCCCTGGAAACTTGAGAATGATTTCGATAATATACTGTTGTTAACCTATTGATGAAATTAAGCAGATCTCTGATTTTATCGGGGTTATAATTATAGAAGTAAACAGTGAGACTTTCTCCTCGGGCTATGCCGTAGAGTAGACGTTGACGAGGCACGAAAGGATTGAATCCAGGCGAGAACATGTTACAAGCTGGAAACAATTACTCAAAGAGGCAAGAGAAATGAACTAACTGTTAGAATCATTCGCTACTTTTTCGAGGACTGCTGGTAGAGCCGTCTTGGTTATCTCATAGCCATATCGCAGCGTTTCTTGAGCTACTTTCTCCACTGTAGCCAGAATAATGTAGTCAGTTTTGGGTTTTTCGTTCATTAACGTTCCTTGATCTTGCTGAAAAACAAATCTCTGGTTTAACTATGCATGGAAGTGAATACCGTGAACTGTGGAACGATTTTCCAATCCTTCTCTTGTTTGACGCTATAACGGTCCGGACCAGTACTATTAGCAACTCTCTCGCAAAAATATATTTTGTCACTCAGATCAACATCTTCATTTTGCAAAGAACCTTTAAGTTTGTCGCAAATCTCAGATAATGCCTGGAAACAAACAGCTACCGCAGTTATTTATATTGAAACTGACTTTCCGTAAAGTATTCTGACAGTCAAACTCCCAGGTGTAGCTGTGAACTGAAACCATGGAGCTCTTGTTTTCAATTTCTTTGGCAATGACAAAGTCGAAGAAATTGACTATAGAAGACACCAGTTTCGCGTTTAAAAACTTTTGTCTGTTTAACAAATGATAAATTCATTCTGAAGATCCTAACGTACGTTGGAATCATACTCTCCATCGATCCTCCGACTTCAGAAGCAATGGAGCCTCGCCTCGTAGTATCAAATGAGAATACCTGTAACGTGTCAGCTGAGTTTCTGTCTATGTACATCGTAACTTACAGTAGAACCAGCCTTACGTGAACTATCTAGCGTGTGTGAAGGTGTGGTCGGTTGAGTTCCACATGGCAACGTTTCAGAAGAGTCTCTCTTTCTCAATGAAGGTCTTTTATCAGAAGGAACTGGAGAAGCTTTCGAAGAGCCCAGCTGGGATCCTACAAGACATATTCTACCTTTCGGAAAAGAAAACTACATACTGTATCCTGGGTTAGAATGAGGGCTTTGAGGTAGAAGATCGGCTGAGCTACAGCCCAGAATACTAGACGTTTCTATTATTTTAAGATTCAATATGCCGAACTCAGTAACCACATCACAGCAAGCCTGCAAACCTTTAAACTCTTTTCAACTAATGCTGCAACTTACTCGTTCTAAAACTCGTCTCAGAATGAGTTTTAGATCTTCCAGAACAACATCTCCTCTTTGCCATACAAATACTTGCATAACCAAAGAAGAAGTGAAAGGTTGACGATCAGTGGAGTTCGTTATAGTTTTGTAGAAAGCAAGTCTGTCCTTATCACTATTGAACGTTTTGACTAGTAATGTATGGGAATGTTCTCTGAGAACACCAGGAGTTAACAGGAGTGATTGACCATCAGAATCCACGAAACGTAATTCCAGACAAGCAACACCTATCGGAGTATTAAACTATATCATTCCACAAGTTACCTCTTTTTTTGTTCATCTCGTTATCCTCATTAGGTGTCTTGACATAAACGAAGAAGGTTTGAGACTGCGCTGAGTAGTTGTTGCTGTATGGCACAAAGTTCACGTTTTCCTGAAAACTCGATGATCAGACCGGGCACGAGGGAACGTCACACCTTGCATCTGGCTACACTCATTGGTATTTGCAAATGTTGTTGAGTATAGTAATACAAGTCTTCAAGAAAATCTCGCATATCAATTGGAATGGGAAAACGGAATACTGCTGATGGTTCTTGTGGAGCTCTTTGCACAAACTGCAAGCTCATAATATATATATATATATATATACTGACAGTTAAGCTTACCATAACGTCGTCTTTATCGAATATGACATTGCTGTCAGTTTTTTGGAACTCGTTGATGAGTACGTTCAGTACTTCTTCATCAAAACGAGCCTGAAGAAACACTATGTAAGGAACTATCATTATCAGGTTAAAAGTACCTGGATAGAGGCTATAATCGAGTTGTTGAAGTCTTCACTTGGTTGAGTTATTCCATGAACAGCAAGCAGAATACGTGATCCGATCATTTGATCAACTTCTCTGAAAAAAATTGAGCTAGCTGCATCATTATGACATAACTAACTTTAAGAACTTCTTTGACGAATGGTTGCAAAACTTATTATTCTGTGCGTCTGTTTCAAACTGTGTTTTTGAAGTATAGAGATGCATGTAAAGAACATTTCCATTTGTTTCTCTAAAAAATGTTCGCATCTTCCACTACTTCTCTATATTCTCACCTGATAACATATGTGTTTGGAACATTCTTGACCGCCAAAGTTCTGATCACAGTCTGCATTAGCTCACTAGCACTATCGAATGATGAACCATTCAATTTGAGTCTCGAATGTACATTGAACCTTTAAGAACATATGCTACTAGATGAAAGAGAAGTAAAAAAAACCAATATAGCTTCTGAAGTGGACAGGCAAAATATCCAGGAGGAAAAGCTGTTCTATCAGTTTCGAACACACGCGATTCAGTTGGTAGCTTGTCGTCATCTTCACTTCCTGAACCAAAAATCTTAATCAAAAAATTGAGAAGAAGGTAACCGTCTGATTCAGATAAGCTGGATGAGACAAAATCTTCGGGACAAAGCAACAATGGATCGCATTCTCTGAGCTCATACATTTTCGCCAGTAAACGTTCCTACAACATAAAATGAGATAGGAACAACATACAACGTTATACTTGATTAATAGTTCTTATGACATCCCTGAATGTAGTCCAAGTAGCATCGAATATCTCGGAATGTTGTGTCTTATATCTGGAACGATTGCTCTGTACTCCAACGCGGTGATTAACTCCAACCTCTGACAGAACTTCACCGAAACTGTTTCGTCTATGATAAGTATGACCCAGAAGTCAGCCAACAAATCTTTTCTATCAGATATATTCAACAAGGACACATCTCCTAAATTCAAAAAATACTTAGGAATTCTTTCCTAGAATAAAGACCTCCATCAGTTGACCGTAACACTCTCATGTTTTCAGATATTCTTTGAGAAGTACATCTAGGTTTGGAATAAAGTAAACAAACATCTCACAATCTAACCTGTAAGCAGTGCGCTTGAAGGAATTACTATGTTTATTGGTGCTATCCTTTTCAACCTCCGCTGAAGCATCAATTTCAGCAGTTCCTCGTAGCTCGCCCTCCTAGAAATTATATTCTTCGATTATTTTTCTGTCAAATCAACAACAACTTTTTCAGCCATGGGTAGACTCTGGCCGAACTCTTCAATATTCTCAACCTGTAAAGAAGGATTGAACACTCTCATTCGAGAAACTAGAAACCTTGCAGATGTAGAAGTAGTTAGTGTTATTCAAACGCTTGAGTCTACAATAATTAATCTTGTATCCATCGAGTCTCTCCTAGAAAACAGATATCAATTAAGGAGAATCGAAAACAGTTATGAACCATCAGTGTCTCTTTTATTTCCTCCGATGACTCTACGAGAGACAATGAACACCACTTCTCAGATATTCGTCCATGATCTCCTGTTTTTGACGTCTACAATTGTTCATGAATTACGTTTATCAGCTTTTCCACCTCTTCAGATATAAAATTCGAAATTCTCTTCAACTTTTCCATTGTGATTTTTTCTTTTCTGCTATCAATTAAAATTGATTCAAGCTCTAAGAGCCTGTTCATTCCATCCAGCAACTGACGAATGGCTGTCCGCTCCTGGAAACCATATTGCTTGTGATAGAGAATCAATTTCCAACCTTATTGGGCATATTTTTCAAGAACTGAGCAGATCTATCACAAGATAATCCAACAAAGCCTTCCACACTGTCGTTTTCAGAGCTATCACTCGAAGAACCATCGCGTTTGAACTGTTTCTGAGATGGCCAAGTCAAAACGTACAACAACATCTTCACAGTGATGTCTTTGATATCTTGAAACACGTATGTTTTCATTTTGTCGGAATTCAAAATACCATAATTTTGGGGTAGACATCTGCTTTGCTTCAGCAAGTTATGTATACAAGATGGTATGAAAGAAATAGGGAAGCAGTCCATAGGACCGTCTTTGAAGTGCAAGGCACAATGGAAAACAACAAACACAGGAGTATCCTTAATCTCATCAAATCATTTCTATTATATGTGAAGCAACCCACTTGTTTTCGTCTATTCCGTCTTGAAGAACTTATATCAATGCAATCATCTACTCCTTGGTCATCCACATATTTTGTGAACTCTTCAATTCTACTTCTGGTTCGAAGAGAACCAACATTCGAGCCACTATCGTCATCGACAGTTTCTGTCTTGTCTTTTTCATCCTCTATATTCGAGTAATCCACACGCAGACTGCCTCTTCTGGTTTCACTCAGAGAATCTCCTCTTCAAGAAACACATAAGGTAATTTCAGCACAAGGAAAACTTACTTCTGAGCTTGATAAAAGAAATAGTTCTGAATTCCAGGAACTTGATGGAAGTTTCTACCTAACGATTCTTTGAACAAACTAGAAAGGTTTGATTCTTCACAACAGTAGTTGTTCTTCTCTTTATTTGACTGAAGCAACTTGGAATTCTAAGAACGGATAAAGTTTCCAGACCTCATTCAGATGACCACAAAACGCTTCCAGCGCGCTGGACACCGACTCAACTTCATACGATTCACACTTGCATTGTTCATTCAGCACTGATTGAACAATCGAAGGAGTAACAGAGATTCCTTCAATTCGATTTGAAACTATGATGAAATAATTTTTTACCTCGACAGAAGCATGCATGTACGGCAGCAACTAAAGCTCTTTCCACAACGTTGAAATATACAAATTTAACGACTTCAATCAGCTCAATAGCCGAGTAGGTTTGTCGTGCATGGTTCGAACATCGGCTGTGTAAGATCAAACTCTCGGGTACATCTGTTCATTCAATATCAACTTCGAAACGCCACAAAATTTACCATAAATCTTCTCTTTTTCCCAGCTAGCGGGAGGGAAATATTCCTCTTTTCCACAGTCCAACTCTCGTACAGACCCAAGAGGTTTACCCGTGACTAATCCGTAAGCTAACTGAGGTTCGTCGCAAACGCTAGCAATAACCGGAAGATCTGGATTAGCATAGTTTTGATAATTTCAGAAACATGCAGATTTACCATCCCAATTAATCCATTCTTCTCTTTTAGGATTTTCAGGAAGTTGTGGTACGAAAAGTTGCAAGACAGACCAAGGGCTAAGTTTTTTCATATACACTCGGCATTTGGTATTTGGAAAATGTTCTTAAAAAGATTTTGAGTGAAAGGATTGACAAAAAGAGAACACCTGGTCTATTTTCGAGGGAGTGTTTCACGACATCGTCATACACCTATATACATATATGTATTTGTTTTGCTATATTGTTTTATGAAACCTTTGAGAAAATGGCAGGGTCTTCCATATCAACAGAGACCGTGAACAGAGAGTCTAATTCACGAGTCAAGCAGTTGAAGAATGTTTTCATTCGTTTGGGTTTGAAATCAGCATCTGTAATTCAATGTTACGTCATTGATTATCTTCGATTATTCATATGTATTCCTCTTTGATGATCATATTTCAGGCTTTGTAGGTACATCAGCCCAACACTATATCCAGATGAAAACCATTACTGTTCTTATCCCAACCATTCATTTTATTTGCTGTTTTATAGTCAGCGTCATTAATCCAAAACCAATATCAAAACTTCTCCCAAAATCGAATACTGCAAAATAACCAACGGGTGGTAAAACATTTGCAATCACTCGATACGCATCTCAACGCTGCAGTGCTATATCATGTTGATCAATAGATGACCCTCGATAACACAAACTAACGCTCCGTATTTTAGATAGGAAATGTAGCCGTTTTTATATAGCGATTCATCGATTCTTAAGAAAAAAAACTTCTATTACAGCACAGACATTCCAATTAAAAAAGCTCTTTCTTTTTTCATTCTCAGATGATACTGTCTCTCATAACGCTCATTGTTGGGAATGAAAAAGCGTAATCTTATAGTCAAAGATGGTGTGATGATTGTAGAATTGTTTGCAATCCAGCTACGTTATCAACAAAAAACGAATGAACATATGAAACCCCATTACAGCATACATATGTAATGTTTTCATGGAACTGTACAAAGTCCTTTTAATGTATGTATTTTCAGGGAATGGGCCATAACTATTAGAGATACACACAGAAGAATGATGAAGCGATTAATGCGCGCAAATAATATGGAATGTAATCCCCCGTTTTAATTTCAACAAATACTAAAAATTACTATATGATCGTTAACAGACACATTCTCCTTCTTCTGTCACAAGTGCATAGCTGTCAGTATAATTTTCTGGAGATAGGCAGATAAAACTTCTACTGTATACATATATACATACACATAGCATACGCATACTCATAAACACACACACACCTACTTCATAGTTTAAAAATGAATGGTGATATCTGCTTATTATGCTGACCATATTATTTATTGGGACATCATGTTTAGACAACTGTCTCTATTTATACACACTGTTCCTCACATCCATTCATGTTATAAAATAGCTTATACTAAATAGCATGTGAAGTGTTCATATCCTCCCACCCGATCCCCTCCACAATACCAAAATATATTACTTCCTACCTTTTATTCCTAAAAATTACATTCTCTCTACCTCTATCCTTCCTCCTCTTCTCCCTCTTCAATCTCTCTCTCTTTCCATCTCTCTCTCTTGCACAACACTCGCATTATTTCTACATGTACAAGTTATTGCCTCTTCAGAAACATACAGCTTCTATGCCCATTGTGCGATCAACATTGATACCTTGATGCTGATTCAAAATTTCCTTGTACTCTTATGATACAATCGTAGGACAGTTATTCGTAATAACAATCACTTCTGATACCACCCTATGTTATTTTTCAAAGCCCGACGACATTGCCCCTTAACATATAATCGCGCAAAACGATAACTAACCAGTCTCAAAAGTGGGCACATGAATTAATACTCTGTTCGAATTTAAAGCCAATTTGGCGAAACGAACAGACTGGTGAACAATCGAAACAGAGCGACTGTTTGATGTTTCAGCCTACAGTTAGAATTAAATGCTAAACCGAATTCAAAAATACCTCTTCCTCGCGATCATCAGCTGCATCGTGTGAGCTAGGTCTACTATTTCCTGATGGAAAATCACACATTCTCAATAACTGATCAATAGAGAACAGTAGAGCAATAAGATCATCATCAACATGTGGAGCTGGTTCCTAATAAATAGTTATAAGATAAAGAAAACAAACTAACAAAATCTTCATATAAGTCAATAATTGGTAGTACTGAAACGAGCAAGAAAATGGAGGTAAGAATCTCACTGTATTTTTGAGAGTGATCCGTACCTCCACTTTTTCGCAAGTCCAACTTCAAAAACTACTGTCTTACACTTGGCATGTTTAATATTCAATAACCTCCAGTGCCAGATGGAAGTAATAGATCTGACATTACCATTTGCATGCAAGATCACAACTTCCAACTGACTCGAAAGATTCCTAGGTTTTTTTTAGAGTGGTATGACCTTTCACTGGAACAAGGGAATAGGAAGGGTTACCTTTCGCGGGCTACTTTAGAATCATGATTCAAAAGAATGATTAGATAAGCAACCTAGATGATAATAGTTTAGAAGTATAGATCTAAGTTGGTCCTATTACCCATATCAGAATCAGAGATGGTGTGCAAATACCATTAGGTAGAAGGAATATCTTTCTATCTATCTATCTATATATATACATACATATATACATATATACATATACATATTTATATATACATAGCTTGATTGCTTTATAATCAAAATACGATTGTTAGAGGGAAAGCTGGGAGAATAACAGTGCGCACCACAGCGAAACATAGTTTGGGGCAAACGAATAGAAATGTTATGAACCGTATGGGCGGAGTTTATGCGCTGACAATCCCCTCCCCCCTCTGAGTCGTTGACACGTGGACATGCAAATGCATAATGGAAGCAGATTATACGCATATTTCAAAGTTATACCAAAGAAAACTTATATGAAGATTATTTACGAAAAGTACAAAGCATACCTTGGGACCCTTCGTTTCATATTCCGCTGATGGTTCAATCCAAGCTTCCGAAGTAAGTATAATGTTGTCAGCAGGACGACCAAGGGAACGGCTGCTTATTTTATCATCATTCCATGCTCTGAATTGATGGTCAGCAACTGAAGAAAAAACAAGAGAAACCTTGGGGAAGCAGCTAGTAAGCGACTGCTTCTCTGGTTCGGAAGCCGGAGAGATGGTGGGAATATAATAAATTGTTCTAGAGCAGGTCCACAAGGGAAAAACACCTAGGTTGATTCAACTGTTTCAGTACATTTGAACTTCAAATACCTGACGACATACGCTAACCATGCCATTTTTTGTCCACGCAGTTTTAAACCCTTCATGTCTCCGCTTTGTTAAGATCAAATTTAAAATGTATGTAGCATTGAATTCTTCACGATTAGAACTTGCTTTGAACGGGAAAAGTTTCCAAATGCGTCGTCTGTATTTTAATGTAAACAACCTTTCATTTATCAAAACATACTTGCAATACAAGTATTTGCTTATGGTATTGTATGCTGCTACTTCATTTGGTTCGTCTGTTTCTTCCGGGCTTACTCTAACTATTTCTTCCATGTTCACTGGGACATGTCCATATCTTATCAATATACGTTCCAGTGGCCGACGGAAAACGGTAAGCGCGGGCTCCAACAAATTCGTTGAGCAGAAATTATTTTATACATACCTCTGCGGATCTACTTGAACTTCCTCCTATCTTTAAATTTTTCAATTTTCCGCGTATTTCCTCTACTACCTTAAAATCGATCTTCTTACTCATACTTCACAAAAAAAAACTACATTCGTTCGTTCGCAGCTGTTCACACCACCCGGGAAAGCTGTCTTCAGAATAAGGCACGGTGGTTCATGAGATATGCGAATCATATAAAAATATGTTGGTTTATCATTTCCGTCCCTGGAGAGAGAATAGAACGTTTTTTCCATCGTTTTGTACACACTCACCCTCTCACAAATGTTACATATAGTTTATCGCGTAGAAGACAAAACGATGAGACATCCTTTAGCAGGCCGTACAATGCTGTTTTTGAAGGACCACAATCAATCTGAATCGTGAATGTATAAGTAAAAATGAAAAATCAATCTGCGTTACATTGACAGGTAGCTTGAAGACATTGCTAGGGAGTTCTTTCGATTGTAAAATAACTCTCTCAAAATGCATATGTACCCATTTTTGCCTAGAAAATTGATAGTTAAAATATAACTTTTAAATATGAACAACCAAACGCCATCATCGATATTGCACAGCACTTTCCAGTAGTTCAAAAACTTTCCGAAGTCGTCCTCAGTGTCATATCTTTGTCTAAAGCAAAGGGTACAGCTCAGATATTCATAATCAAATACCCTATGGATGTTGGATCATCTATATGGAAGATAGCACGGCTTCCTATACCAGCAGGAAGATTAAAATAAGCTTTATCACAGTTAAAAGAATGTATATGCATCATCAGCTCATCTGCTTCTTGAATACTGAGAAAGAAAATTGAATTAAACTCGGAAGTTGTTGGAAACCTTTTGATCGTGCTCTTCAAAGAACATATGAATCGCTTGCGTTCTTCACTACTGCTCATCTCACTCCTATTTAATTCAGCAAAATCTTTGAGTTCAGGCTTGGGACCTCGTATGAATATTTCGGTTGTTATAGCTTCTCTGTAATTATCGGTGATCCGGATTCCTCATAACACCACACCTATTATGAACAGAAGTAGGCCAGCCAGCTATGATAGTGTATTCAACAAAAACTAGAGGACGGAACGGCATGGACAGATGAATCTTAATCCTAGAATCGTGCTTCAAATATTCAACTGAATTTCAATTTTATGAGGTGCTGGATATATCATTATAACCTCTTTTCATGGAGAAGCCTTCCCTCAGTCGCACATACAGCATTTCATGTAGCTTACTATGATAAGTGCCTTTGAAAACTGGATAAACAACAGAGTCACTGAAGAGAAGATTGAATCAGGACAATAAGTACACAAATACCATTTCTGGAACTCGGCAAACCCTGTACTGATTTCTTTCAATAAGTTGGAAATATGCACATTATCTTCCAGAAAATTTTGAAAACTCCAACAGAGCAAAGACCTGAATGAAATTGAATAAGACAAAGAAATTGAATCGTAGAGAACCTGTGGAAACTGTTCAATTCTCTGTAGAATGCTTCATCTTCCTCCTCACCGTCTTCAATTGACTCCAAACCAAATCCAGAACAACGACAATAAGGCAGATATGATCCTAAATCATCGAGTTAAATAGAACAGTTTGAATGAAAAACCGAATGTTGCCATGGCTAGGAAATGAAATAATTCTCCAGAAGATACATGTCCAAAACAAGCCTCGCTGTGAGATGTACCTTGAACCTGGGAAGAAATCAAGAAACTCGATTTCGATATTTAGATTACTTGAATGAATGAACATGATACTGTCTGATTTCGAATTTGATTAAGTAAGTCTTCTAAAGCCAACGTGTCTGGTATTCCTGCTACTCCATCGGTAATCACAACGATATCTATCATAGGCAAACATTAAAAGCACATCCTCGAGTTAACTATTACTGGATTGAGTATGTTCAGGCAAAGACTGCATGGTTATCAACCCTAATCTTAAAATGAACAATATCGCAGACTCCGGGAAAGTATATCCATTGTTAGTTTTCAGAAATTTAGCAGGCAAAAGGGATTGATCATCGTAATACCTGAAACTTCATATATACTATCTCCTTAGGATTAACCTCACCAGATATCTTGCTTTCGGTCATTCAGATTACTGTTCGGAGGTTGTCTGAAAAAAAAATTATTTCTATAAAGTTTGCCTGCTCGGTCAGATATACAACCAGCTTGTATCTTTTGAGTTTTAAAAATGAGTTTCGTACTACCTGCTCACTCTTTATGCTAATTTCACGTGAACTAGTATTCCAATTATCAAAAAAAACACGACAAGCGTCGGAAAATTTTGAATTTGCATAAATTAGCGTGAAGAACTCTACCTTGCCGTTCCGTTCAAGTTCTTTCCTACTGCATTCATGGCCATGAAATCTTCAGTTTCTTGATTACTATTCTTCCTGGGCGGAATCTCATCTATTCTTATCTGAAAAGAAACCAGTATGGGAATAGGATGAAACAGTTATACCCTATGATGACGTTGTAGATTGACCCAAGTTCGTAGTATAGGTTGAGAGAAAGAATGGAGAGATTTCAACAATTCATCAAACTTAACTCTAGCCTTAAGCACGAGATATGAAATTAACCAACTATGAACTCAAACCTTTTCAAGAACATTGAAAACATTACTTTCCGTAAGAAGATCACCATGTACTAACACCTGAGCTACTCAATAAGCGCTGAACATATACTGGTCTTACCGATTTCTCAGAAAAACTTAAAAAGGGAACGAAGACGATTATGCTGACATACACTTGCGGTCGAAACTTCTTACGGGTTCCAGGTATAGTGAACTGACGAGGGAAACTATTGGTTGGTGTCTTACGATTCTACTTACGCTACGCACAACTGATGATAGACTCAACTGAAGACATTCCAAAAGCTTGTGATGTAGACAAGAATTACTCTGCTCGTCCTGTAGCAAAGGACAATTTAATATTAAACAAGAAAAACCCTTACAGCAACAATGGTAGAAGGACTCAAATCAAGAATGAAAACCTGACGATAATACCGAGAAAGAAAAGTAACCTAAGGACGAACATACATTGTGCAACTGGCTATCAGATTACCTTCGTGTCCAAGCACACTCTGAAAACTTCATTCCCGACAAACTCATCCACGCTTCCATCCTTTGATATTATTCCTAACACTGTCATTTCTCGACCATACTCATCCTAATAAAAATAAGGATCTTGAAAATGAATAAGTGACTGATGTTACTCCGGTGGGCTCATCCTGGATTGAAACTGTTTTACCCAAATGATCAAAAAACCATTGTGCACGCAAGTTTCTGGACACCCGGAAGTTTCGGTGCATATGTATGAAAACCTCCGCAGCTTCACGGTGGGTCTCTTCTCCATCAGCTGAAAATGATATTTCTCCTATATAATCGTGTGAGAACCCTACGAGAGAATCGCGTGTTAGGAACGTCTACACTACTGTCCATATTTTATACACGAAATCATATCCTTAAAAACAGAATGAATGAGGGACAAGCCATCACTCGAGTTAGGTAAACAAGGCTACAACCCAACATGTAATCATTGAAATTTCACCGAAAACTTCATAACACATTATATACATACGCGTAATAATGAGATACAAGTGAACAATAATTATGCTCTTCCCTGAAGCTGTTTCTCTCTCATAGCATTGATAAAGGAGTTAACGTTCCATTTCTGCAAATGGAATAAAACAATAGAGACCCATCGGTTAGTGCTTACCCATGAGTTGCTTGGGATCAGAGGTCCGTTATGAACTATTTGAATGCGAACTTTCTCATTGTAATTCAAACCGCGGAGTAGTTTCGGGGTTAACCTGAATAAGATAGAAGTGTTACTGGAAGAGAAAAAAATATTACAAGAAATATTGCGTCTTTGAAAGGGTACCGTCCCCTGTTAACTTGTCCACCATGATATCAAACACTTTCCGTTCATTGGTGGGATCCATACCTGAACAGAAAACAAGATAACTCAACATAGCTGAATACAACTACCTTGATTGATTTCATCAACACAGCGGAACGGAACCGGACATAACTCCTGCAGGGACAGTAAGTACAGCATCGTGGAGACACTTCTCTCACCACCTGATTGAACTTGATGATCTAAACGCTTTAAAGGCTCGGAAGCCCGGAATGAGACCATTATTTTGATACCATAAGAAGCGATATCCAACTTGAAGATAAAAAATGAAATTGAAACGAAAGCTCACTTACTTCATCTGATGGAACTTCCAAATGTACTTCACCGGCACATCCATTGCCTAACCTCCCAAAGAAACTGCGATAGTTCGTATTAATTTTTTCTACTAATTTCTCTATAGGTTCACGCCATTGAGCGATCAACTGAAAAGCTTAGAAGTGAGATCAGTATTTTCTCAGGAAATATCACCGTTCTCATGTTATCATTCCAATTGCTCTTGTTCTCTTCAAGTGTCTTATATCGCTCCATTGCGATCTCCTGTTCCTTCACTACTTCCTCCAATCTCACGACATCCTAATTATTTAAACTACAAGAAGGTGTTCGCAAAATAAGCAACTTGTTCTGATCCTTCGTTTGTGTTCATCTTCCTTCGAGCTTCTTCTTGGGCTATGGAATTGTCAATTTCTTCGAAATCATCAGGAATGTTGTGTTGTTCAAACATCTAGAAACACTGTGGACTATACTTCATCATGGAACATACTTTCTCAATCTTCTTATATTTGGTTTTCTCGTCGGGGCTCATGTCTTCAGGTTTCAATGTTCTAGATTATGGAGATATGGTATGTTTTCAAACTTACTGTTTACCTCAAATTACACCTGTCTATTAACTCTTTTCTCTGCACTTCGACTCTCGCTCTGAGTTCTATGAGCTGTTGCTTTTCTTCTTGCAGCAATCTCTGTAAATCATTACTCAGAAAAACTAATGGCTACTGGAAACGAACTGCAGCTCTTTGCTCTTCCTCCGTCAAAACTCTAAGCTGTCGGTCATTCTCGAACATATCCTGTTTCAGTGCTTCTAACAGAGAAAATGAAACAATACATTTCTTATACTTTTCCAAATACAATGTCTTAAACAATAAGTTACATTGAAAACAGGGAACCAACTCACGTTTCGCGCAATCGAAGCATCTATATGTTGCATGGAACTTTTGTATGCACGTACTCTAGCTTCATCCAATTCTTTCTTGGCTACCGCCAAGTTTGGTCTGACTTCCAATCTATTCTTCAACCTTCAGTAAGACGATAAATTTTCATTTGATCAATAACAACTAACTCTTCCTCCTCCATATTTATTTGGTTATTTATCTCGTTTATTTTAGCTTTCTTGTTGCGCCATTCCATCTGAAAGTTCCTTTCTGAGCATTCGAATAGATTCAAAGATTTCTTACGCTCTCCTGCTTCAATCCTTTCTTTTTATTCTCAATAAGTTCTCGCTGTCTCATAAGGTTTTTCTCTTCGTCATCTATCCTATGTTTCTGAAATGAGGAGCATATGGGAATGAACTTTCAAATGATCTACCGCTTTGGTGATTTCGTTGAGTTCACGGGATATGTCTTCTTGGACAGGCATGGGACTTGAATGTTGCATAAAAACTTTGGGACTTCGTAAATCGCTATTTGAGAACAGTACCCCTCCAGAATACTTGGATATTGTAACTGTGATCTGAAAGTTAATAATATTAAAATTTGAACTCATGAATTCAGCACTCTTTGAACAGAAGTTAGGATAACTTGAATTCTCAGCTCTGTGTAGAGGTCGCGAGCTTGAGCTTCGGTCAAATCATCAACATCGCCTATCGGGATATTATGTATCTGAACATATCGAGAACTGAAGACTTTCAAGAAATCAGACTCACTCTAAACACATTACACATATACTGTTTGACCGCGTCGGGAGCTTGGAAAAGCTCTGAAAGGTAATGTCTAAATCCCATTTTGTGCAAAGAATTAGGCAAGGTGGCATGAATGACAGCAGGATTGATCTAAGAACACGGGAACAGTGTAAGCAACAGATAACATAAAGCAAACCGAGTTAGAAGTTACAACTGTTGTGTTAATCCTCCAGGGTTGATTTCTTGTTAGTAAGCTCTCATCCTTCTTCGATCCAAATATGAACATGAATATGTCTCTGTTCGAAACTATGTTTTCCATATACTTCGCATTCTCTGGAGTTATAGTGACCTTAAAACAACACCTGACCATGAAAATTCGATACCCGTTCAACCCACATGAAAGACCGGAATGTACACCGGGTGTTCGAAATCGTTTATATGCTCTTCATACCAACGCCAAGCATCTAAAGCAC